TTCTGACTTATCCGCATGGGCGAATGGAATGTTATACTCCCAAATTCATAGTTAGCCCTTAGTCCTCTGCAAACTCAACATTAACACTGGGCCTTGTAAGCCATCAATATGACCCCGAACTATAGAATTCACAAGGGCAGCCTGAAGACTGTCTGCTTTATTTGGTTCGTTTCTACTCAAACTTTGGTGAGCGCTTTTTTCTGACATGCATCGTTCAATCTGATCTAAATAAACCGACAAGCTCCATGCAGTTGACTGAAGCACCTTTGAATGCTCTATTAGAGTATGAACCTAAGTGGGCACACTCCAGGATACACCTCTATGGTGGACTCCATGCAGCGCCAGTCATCTCACTAACTGTGAAAAAGAGTGAATGCCACTTATTTGGTGATTAAGGTGATATATTTACTATGTGGGCCATAATAAGAAGTGAAAACATTGTCTTTTTTTCTTGGACATGTACTGTATGGGAATTTTAAGTGATGCACTTACTATGTGGGCCATAATAATATGTGTGAAATTGACGTTTTCTTGGACCTTGATGTGAAGTTAAGATTTTTGATAAGCTTTGGGTGTTGCAATTTCACACGTGTACAAAAGTAGCTTAATTCAACTGATGAGTGCTACAGTATGTGAATAAATGTAAGCGATGTGAGGCAAGTAGCTCTTGGCCACTTTCCTTTTTTCAAAGTAGTTCTCAGATGAAGAAAGGTTGGAGACCCTTGCTTTAAAACATACAGTTCTGAGTGGTGCAGGTAAACTGCAGTTAAATCATCCAGTCTTTACTGTAGAATGATGGGATCATTTGACATATCATATGAAGTAACTTAGTGATGACTTACTTACTTAGAGGTTATTACGTCTGCATGGTCTACATTTTTCGGATTGACATGTGTGCTCTAAAGGAAGAGATGCAGTGCCAAGTCTAGTTGGCTTTCCCTTTTTTCCTACTGCTCCAACAACAACAGTTTGCTAGATGTATTACTATTCAACTGTTACATGTGAGGTGTATTATCTCTACTTGCAATGAAAGGCAATTATCTCCCTCTGAATCTCATTGTGTTTATATTATTCTTGATTCAATTAGTGCACACACCAGAGTAATAAAACAGAAACAGGGCTGTGGAGTGATTCTCATCTCCCCTTCTCACTGTGATTTACAGCGTGCTGCTGTTTAATCGTAGCGTAATCATCGTATAATAACATCCACTTGCGCTTTTGCTGTTACCCTATTATCCCTTTGTGAATATTGATAGGGCTCCATTGCCTCTTGCACTGTTTCAAGTATCCAGTCGTTGCAGGTACAGTAGATTATACTTTGCCTCAGGAACAGTGCCTGTGAGTTCTGGTGAAGCCTCTTAGACACATGCTGCTTGATGTATACGGATGTGACAGAAAGTCACAAGTTCCCTTGATTGATATTCTCTGGCATGTTAACCTTGTGAAGCTGTGCCAAGCCCATGTGACATTAAATGACAAAACCATATAATTTTTTCCCCCGTCTTTCAACTGTCTCATCAAGGGGACAGCCTGACATTTGAAAAGTCTGTATTTTGCCTCAGCAGGAACCCATCACGTTGGGAGTTTTGTCCTTCAGGTACCCTACATATGTTTTTTTCTGAGATATTTGCATTGACATCAGTGTAAAGGAGAAAGTGTAAGCTAGCTTTAGACTAGTAATACTACATCTGTGTAATTTCCCTTCATTGCAGCCCCGCTCACGGAATTTTGAGATATACCTTCATCAGATGAGGGGGATTCTGCAGGATTTCTCATTTATTTGTAACATGCAAACCTGTAGTTCAATATGGAGGATACATAAAAGCAGGCATGGATAGGCTTTGTATTGGTATAAGGAACATATTTTATAGAAAGTGTGTATCTCACATTTTTAAGAAAGTAAAAGACAAGAACGCAATTTCAACAGAGAAGAAACCATGGCCCCAAAAGAAGAATTTAGACTTCCATTTAGTCCCAGCAGTGTTACATGACAGGGGAGAAATCTTTTTTTATTCGTTTTTTGAAGTGACAATCTATCATTACTGAACCATAACAACTTGATTGGATTTTAAATATTTAGTTTATTAGGGATGGGTTACATATTTCGGAGGGGATATTGAGAAATCTTGTTATCATGTATTATTCTGATGATGAAAGTAAAGCTGATAGATTATAGTCGGATAATACAAAGTCAAATTGCTTGCATTTAATACCGGCTTACACCAAATCTAGTAAAGTATGTTGGTATGCACCTTTACATTTGGAGAAGAATAAAAACTAATTCAGCACACACTATTGAGCCAAACATGTCCTTGTAGGAGTGGAGTGGATCTGTTTTACAGTGTTAGAGCAAGACAAAATAATTGCAATTAGCAGAAAATGTAAAAAGTCAGGGATGATTTGAAAATAAATCAATGAATTATAATACATATTGTGCCTCCCAACTGTTTTTTATCTGATCCAAATCCAATAGTGCCCTAGACTCACATTCTATTTTCTATTGCGAGGTTTAAAGGACAGCCTTGCTAAAGTAACACACCCGTACATTCCATCTTGTTTGTGGCATTACAGTTAATTTGTCCCTGATTCAGGGCACCTGTTCCTATTTCAATCTGCACACATTTAGATGGTAAGCTTCCACTTTACTTCATCAATGACTAGTGATGTCTTTTATTTAGTTATAGAGCTGTTGCTCAGAGGTGTCTCGTTATGCCCTTTCAATTGTCAGTCTGGTTGAACCATTGTACAGCGTTTTGTCCTCTATGTACAAAACAAACCCTTCATGAAAAATAACACCTATTTGTTAAAGGACCTTCTAAAATCTGAAGCCATGAAGGACCATTCAAAAAATAAAATAGTTCTCATTGCAATCTAACTCTAACGAATCAAACCCTTTGGCAATAGAGCTCTTTGAAATGTATTTAAATATTTAAATATCATTTGATAGTATCACCAAAACGATATCAAGCAGGACTGAAAAACTAAGTGAGTCAACCGCTTAGAGATGTGTCGGAAATGTCGCTCCTCTAAGCACATCACGTATAATGTGTTAGCGCTTGCCAGTAGAAGCTTGTGTTATGTAGTGATGTCATTATGATACAGAAGTAAACAAAGGAATCCAATGGAGGCGTTTGAGGCAGAGGGAGAGTGTGTGGGAAAGAATCTCCCTCTAGAGGGAACTTTGGGATTTTAGCCTTTTGCAGACCATTTAGATGCACAAAAACCTATAGCAAAAAATCCATAAAGAATAATATGAAGCTATAAAGCTTCAGATCAAAGTGGAATCAGGCAGTGCTGCAGTCTTATATCCCAGCATTTAGATGTCTTACATATACACAAACAGGCCTGCATTCACATACTGTACATGCAAACACAATGACACAAACGAGAATGAAGCTGTCTTAATCTTGGCTCATAAACCTCATTTACATCACACTGTCTTACAGCTGTCACGGCCTCTTAATGTGATCTGAATACAAAAATGTTTATCCACGGTGTTCATGTGGTATAATGTTTTGTTTGTTTTCTATTCATTTCAGACTAAATATGACAACTGAGACCTGTTTAAATCTTCTGTCAGAGATGTGCTGCATTTTTGCTCCATGTAAAGGCTTTCACTGTGTGACAAATCCTAATTGGTCATAGGGAGTACCTTCAGGGCGAAATGTACCTGATGCTGAGAAATGCGTTGCTCTAATTGGGTTTGCCCGTAATCTGCTGCTGCTGGAGAGCCTCCTGCATAAGCAGCATGGAAATCGTGTAATACTTGGAATTAGCTGCCAACGTGTTTGATTTAATTAATCAAAAATGAGCTTCCAGCCTTGGAACACATTCTGCAGAAACTCTCCAGAGGAGGCTGGCAAGTCCTTGGTTAGCTGTGAGAGCCCATACTCAGGCAATCTAACTTTGTATGGGTAGTGAAATGTTGTTCAAATATGGTTCATCCATGGTGGGAATGATACGGCAAGAAGTAGATGAGATCTGTAAATCCTTTATTCCAATAAGTATGAGAGACCAGGGGCAATAATAACCTTTTATACATCAATAAGCCACTATTATCTTTTCATACATTTATATGAGCACCAATTCATAATACAATATACATGTTATCATGAATAAGGAATCAACTAGTGTACTAGAGTATATAATGTAATGCAAGAAGTCAGAGTGTTATATTTGGCCCCATGTTGGGGGCAATTGTAACAATGTTTAGGGGCTAAGTAAACCACTTTAAATCTACTATACAGACAAACTCACAATGAAAGAAACCTTCATTATGGCTGACTTATTATAATAATATGTTGATAATAATACACTTTCTCACAATATCTTATATTGTTTTTAACATTTATAAAGCACATTTTACACAAACAAATATTGTTTACATATGAGCTGCTATACAAGAACAAACCCAAATAGTGTAAAAATGTCCTATTAACATAAATGTTTTTATTTAATTTGTGTGAAATAGGTTTCAGCCATTATACATGTTTTTAAATAGGTTATTAAACTTAAGACAGTTGAAGAAAATACTGTTATATGTCGGAGAAAAAGTCCTACTGAGCATGTGAAAAAGTCCTACTGAGCATGTGAAAAAGTCCTACTGAGCATGTGCAGAGTAAGCGTCATCATTCTACCTTGTTTATGATTGGAGTATTTGCCCTGGTTTCCCCTAATTAAGACTTTCCTTTCATTCTGGCATCGTCTCATAGACCAATGGTCCCTGTTGTCCTATAATACCCATACATTATCTCTTATCATATACTGTATTTTACACCGGGTACTTGACATTTTGCAGCAGTGAAGCTATCATTATCTCTGTTGTCCTTTTATGAAGCACTTTGTATTGAAAGATCTATTTACAGGACAAGTCTAGGATTGATTGTCATCACTGAACACAGAACACAACTAAGTCTTTCTTTTTTGTATTGTTTTCAATGACCTTCTGTCTAATCATAAGAACAACCCACTGTCTTAAAGGTAATCATTTCTGTTCCATGTCTCACTTAAATTTCAGGGAATTTTGCCTGGATAGTCCTTGAATCTGAAGGTGAAAAACACTGGAATCCCCATATGTGTTCCTGTTGGGTGACCACTTTTTCCTATGTGTGTTTTTAGATCCAGGATCTAGCTATGCGCTGCATCCAGAAAAACATCATGAAGAATCGCGGCGTGAAGGACTGGCCATGGTGGAAGCTCTTCACCACCGTGCAGCCCCTCATTAGAGTCCAGCTCACAGAGGAGCAGATGCGGAACAGAGATGTGAGGAGGCTTTTGTGATAAATCCTGTCTGATAGTTTCCCCACAGTTAAAAATGCACCCCATGCCACAGCAGCATGGAACTTTCTGTTGTTCATTTTTGATGTTACTTGTATTTCTTAATATTTCACACTTCTACCCATATCTTTACACTTATATTGCTGCATTCTTTGCTCACAGGAGGAAATACAGCAGCAGAAATCAAAGTTCGAGAGGGTGGAGAAGGAGCGGAATGAACTGAGACTGAACACGGATCGATTGGAGAGCAGGGTGGGTCCCTTTCGCCTGTGGCAATGCATGCTGGGAGGATGGTGTATAAGATTCGTGGTGGAGTTAAACTCTTTCATTTCAGCTAAAGATCTGATCACAGGGAGTTTGTTGAGCTATATAACACCCTGTCTGTGTATGTGTGTGTTTGTGTGTGTGTGTGTGTGTCCAGATCTCAGAATTGTCATCAGAACTGGCTGATGAGAGAAGCACTAGTGAGTCAGCTTCCCAGTTGCTGGAGACTGAGGCTTCAGAGAGACTACGCCTGGAGAAGGAAATGAAGGATCTACAGGCACGTAAACACCCGATATAAACTCACACTCTAGTGTCATTATAGTTCAACTGTTCTCTATTTGCATCCATTACTGGTGAGAGTTATTTGGAAGGTGTAGTACCATGTCCAAAACATCAGGTGGCAGATCCCTAAAGTGTTGTCTATAAATATATTTGATAATCATCTTTGCGGAGTAAAGAGGAAATGAATGAATCAAGTGTATACAAAACATTAAAACACCTTGATTCATATTGTTATAATATTTTCCTGTGACTGTGAAAAACAGGATATATATATTTATATCTATGTTTAGGTCATCTGTTTTATTGCAATTAATGCGTTGTGTCCATTAAACAGATACCTAATGCCTTCATTATAAAAAAAATATTGGAAAAAAAGTGATTGGCATGACATTTTCCTCGTTCCTGCTTTATCCAGTCTTTACCACCCCTCAAAGCACTTTACATTCTACAAGTCATCATTACCACCGCATTCATACAGAGAAATGTGCCATTTTTGCTCAAGTAGGCTAACATTCTGTTACGACTGGAGCACACAAAAAAGGATAGGACCCAAATGCACGACTCCAGACAAAAGATGATTCAAAAAAGGATTTTACTTGCGGTGATAAGCAAGGCAATACAATCACATAAGTAGAGCTAGGACTCCAAAAAATGACTCTACAAAAAAACTAACTGAAATTCACAATAGCAAAGATAACAAACTGGGTGACTAGTATCACAAGGTTCAAAAACGATCTGGCACTTGGCACAGGGAACACACAGAATATGTACACATATAAGGGACTCTACAGGTGCAAACAATAAGGGCGGGGCAGGTAATCAGGTCAGTGAACACACTGACAAGGTAGGAGTCGAACTACCTGAAAGGAGAAAGGAAATAACAAAGTAAAACAGGAAATGGCAGACAACAAAAAGGGTTAGCAGACGCGGACTTGACAATATAAACTGAACAGAGAAATAATATTAACAAATCTGACGAGACACAACACATTCACATAACATTTGCCATGCCTTCGGGAGCAACTCCTGGTTTAGTATCATGCCCAAGGATACATGTTGATTGCAAAAGCTGGGATCAAACCCAAAACCTCCCTATTGAAAGTCGACCTCACTCCATTGCAGCCACAGTCACCCAGAAAACAAGATCTCTCCTCTGTTGCGCTTCCCAAGGTTTCTTCCATCATTTCCACATTAATTGTGGGATTTCTATGGGAGTTTGTCCTTGTACAATGCAAGAGGTCTAAGGAAAGAGTGTTATATTCTGTAAACACTGTAATGCCGCCTGAACAAATGTGTAATTTTAGTTATTTGCCTATATTAATACAATTTAAATAAAAAAGTGGTACTTTGCAATTGAATAATTAATGCATGAAAAATGTAATTTCTGTGTGAATCTGTGCATTCCAGGCCAAGTTTGATGCCATGAAGAAACAATTAGAGTCGCAGGAGATGGAGGTGATGGAAGCTCGGCTGATGAAAGCCTCAGATCTCAACGGGGAGATGGACGATGACGATGATGCAGGTTAGTTGTCATTTGCAGATGACATAATAGACGCCAAGACAAGCGTCAAGTGCTGGGTTTAAGTATATGTCAACAATTTGAGGGAGAAAAAAACCTTAATTAACAGTTTCTATGTTTATAATGCATAAACTATAATAATGGTGCATTAGAAGCTGCTTATAGCACTGTATACTTATAGTTATATGCGCACATAAATGGTCCTAATGCTTAATAACAATCAAAACACATGATCAGAATCTGAATTCCCTTATAAGTCCTGCAGTGGGGAAATGTACAATGTTACAGCAAAGGTGGCATAGCAGGTACAAAAAAGGCATGCAATAATAAAGAGTAAACTCAGATTAAAGAAAACCCACATTAGTAATATTTAACAAAGCCTGTAATTAATTAGATTAATTTTTTTAATCGAGTCCCGGCCCTAGTAATATTATATATATATATATATATATATATATATATAATATAATTCATAATAAAAAAAAAACTACACAGCCATGGCTAAAAATAAGTAGCAGCAATTAAAAAACCAAAAGGAAGTTAGTAACATATTACGGTGTTGTTTATGTTTTTCACATAAAAGGGATAATTGCACATTACAATTGCAAAAAAACAGTGTATGTATTGCACATTGCAGGTGTATTGCGCAATATTGCAACAGTCTGCATTGTGTGGGGGCTTACCTTGGATAGTTATACAACATCAATTATGAAGCATTTGATATAGAAGGTCAACTATCATAATGCTCCATAAGTCCTGGTCATTCACTGACATTTAGTTTAGTTCATTATGCATTATAATTCCTGTAATTGGAATACATTATACTGTTTCTCTTGAGTGCAGCAATGACATTCCTAAGGTATAGGCGGATAAAATACATTACCAGCTGCTTACATTTCAACATAAGTCCTGGTTTGCTCATTAAAACTATGCAAACACAACACACACATAAAAAAATATATACATCTGTTTAACCGATCATTACAGAAATTGTAGAACTCCAATTTGACACAACTTAAAGCTCATGAACGATTCATTGTGGACTTTTACATTTTTCTTTTCCCCCCAAAACTCACTCTTAAGACTCAATTGACTCAAATGAATGAAAAGCTGAAACATATTTATCTTACCTGTATAAATACAGTGCTATAAGCAAATTATAGTTACGTTTATAATGCATTAGATACCTAAAAAGTGTTACCTTCTCTTTGGAACCACATTTTTGGTCATCATTGTTCTTAAACATTTATTTTAATTCCTCTAATTAATTGGTCCTTGTGACATTCCCAGCAGCTTGCCAAGACCTGCCTAATGGGCATGTCAGCTCAGGTCACAAGCATCATTTTCTGAACCGAGCATAGCAGCATTATGTGCACAGTTAGAAAAACTCTAATACTAATGGCTGTAGCTGTGGGAATTAGCAGCTTTGTCTGACATGGCAGCGAGACTTGGTCACATCTTGCGTAATGCTATTAAGTGTAATTTCCAAGTTTGAGATTTACCGCTCAGGGATTAAGATGTTCGCTCCCAGGCATACAACTAATGCCTTTTACCGATTGGTCTCCACCTGCTGGGGAAGAGAGCCCCCGCTGAGAGCATATTGTCCATGAGCCTTTTTTTTTCCTGTGTTCCCCGCCCCCTCTTCAACAGACCTCAGCAGACAAGCCATTACAGAGCATATCAGAATTCTTAGATGAATGAGAAAATAATCGTTGGGATCAGAGCCGGTGGCCCTGCAAGTTGTCATTATGCTATATATATGCTAATGAGCGGCGCTGATGGAGGAGCCGCTGTTGGTATGTGAAGGAGAAATGGACAGCCTCTGAAATGATAAGGCTTGGAAATGAACCTGAACCTGAATGTCTGCCTGGCCGCTGTTATGGTTCTGATAGCCTCTGACAGCTCCAGAATTAGGGTCGGCTAAGAACTGTGGAAAGTGCCACTTAGACGTGTCCTTCTCTAACTACTATTGTGCTGTGCCCTGAATTCCTACCTCAGGTTTATACAAGATTAGAGCCCGAAAGCAAAGGCTACTTCATAGTTTCCTGTCCAAAGTTTTTGACCTCATAAGGTCGGGGATTGGACGAGAGACGTTCTTTCCTGAAAGATTATATGAATGTAATAACCATCACCGACAGTAAAGTACAGTACACTCCATAATCCACAGCATACATCATTTCTGAGCTTTTGAGCCTTTTTCTCCTTTCTATATCCTCCTGGGACTGCAATAAAGGCAGTAGACTATCAAAATGTTCCACAGACATTTCCTAAATCGTACATCTTTTCTTTCTTCCAGGAGGCGAGTGGCGGATAAAATACAACCGGGCCATTCGTGAAATGGACTTCACTAAAAAGAAACTTCAGCAGGAGTTTGATGAGAAGCTGGACACAGAGCAGCAAGGCAAAAGACATGTTGAGAGAAGGGCAAGAACCTTTCTTTATATCCAAGTCCTGAAAAAAATCTATTTCAATCTTTGGTTACCACACAATGTGGCCAGCTAGTTATATAAAAGTTGTAGTTATGCTGTCATGAAAGAATTTTTTCTTTTTTTACTTGTTTATTTGTGTGTGTGCATGCTGCAGCTGGCTGATTTGCAGACAGATAATGAGGATGTGCAGCGCTCTGTGCAGCAGCTGAAGAAGAAGTGCCAGAAAATGACGGCGGAACTGCAGGACACCAAGCTTCACCTGGAGGGCCTGCAGAGCCGCAACCACGATCTGGAGAAGAAGCAGAGGAAGTCAGTTTCTTTGTCTGGCTTGCTTTCTTTTCTAAACACACATTACAGAGAACATATTGCTGTTTTCTACTTGAAAGCCCAGGCGCAGCTACTCTGACCTGACCTGGCAGAAGAACACTAACATTTTCTTTAATTTGACTGAGACGTTCTGTAATCTGTGGAATTGCATTAGCCGAGAAAATGAGTCAGGCTTTAAGCACTTGAGAAGCTATCGCCGTGGCAGAATGTGATCTCTCCCCTGTGGCTAATTGAAGATGCTCTGTGGGTGAAATTATTTCTGCCGCGCTTCAGAGAGAAAAACAGGGAATTACAACGAGCTGACAGCATGAAACACTTAGCTGTTAAGTTCACTAACCATAAGTGTTTCTGCCCCAGACAATTGAAGAAAACATTTTGCAGGTTATTACAATCCAATGGTAAATTGATGTCTAATAGAGGGGGAGGCTGAAATAGAGGTAGCGCAGAATGGAGCTCTTTGTCCACAATAACCTCCAAGGCTCAAAATCTCCTAAGCAACAGGAGTTATATTTATGTATTGAGTTAGTGTGGTTTATATTTAACAACAATTGTACAACTTCTTCTATCACTTCACACAAGTATGAACATTTATGATGAGGTATAACTAGATGTATTACTTATATTCAGAGTTGGAAGAAATACAGTCGAAATACACAAGTTAAACAAGCATCAAAATGTACTTTTATACTTTATTATTTAATTAGAATATGTGACGGGTTAAAGTGTTAATCACTGTAATGTATTTCTGGTAAAGGAGGACCTATTTATTCAATTTTGTTTACTATATATAATACTGCTGTGTAGCTTGTGAATGTCACAAAGGGATCGATCAAGTTTTATCTTAACCTATAATAATATATGATTTATTATTTGTTAATATGGTTGTTGGGGTAGAAGTATAAATGAGCAGGAAAGGAAAATACTCAAGTAGAGTACCTTAATATTGCACTACTTAAAGAAATGTACTCAGTTAATGTCTTCTGATTTGATCCATTACATATCCTTTAACCAAATGTGCAAATGTTGGCACTTTGTGTAATAACATCTAAAGTGTTTACTATGATGCTTAGCATTTAAGTCCTATGGAACCCTGGTCAACATATTTGCTGAGCTGTGTGTTCATGTGTGTGTGTGTTTTCAGATTTGACCTGGAGCAGAACCAGGCTCAGGCGGAGGTACAAAGAGAGAGGAGCCAGAGGGAGAAGCTGGCCCGAGAGAAAGACTTAATGACTGGTGAGATGTTTAACCTCCGCCAGCAGCTGCAGGTAAGCCCCTTCACAGAGATGCACTCTGATGTCCTCTCTCAGGGACTACACGTCTGCTCTCTATTTGATGTAACTGGGCTGGTCCAGGTGTGCCTTTTACTGTATCTTGTCCGCCTTCAGGAAAAGGACGATGAATTGTGCACGGTGAACATAAAGGTGCAGCAGCTGGAGGCAGAGCTGCAGGATCTGTCCTCCCAGGAGTCCAAGGACGAGGCCTCGCTGGCCAAGGTCAAGAAGCAGCTCCGCGACCTTGAGGCCAAAGTTAAAGACCAGGAGGAGGAGCTGGACGAACAGGCGGGAAGCATCCAGATGCTGGAGCAGGTACAGGGCGCCTGAGGGGGTATTTTAAATCTGTATGATGAAATATTCAAAATGTTTTACTGATCAAAGCAGCTTATATCACACGTTTGGGTTTTTAAACTCAAACATGTTATTCTCAAAGTCCTATACCTCATCAAAGACTGCTTTTTACCCTAATATTTTTCCAAAGAGTCACTATTTATATAAATGTGTTAAGATATCTCTAGTATATAGCTAGTTGTCACTAGTCTCTGTCACTAGTTCTAATTGAAGTGACAGTGTTGAAAGACACATTTGGTGTTTAATTGGACTCGTGGATGAACAAATTTGGCAAAAGGTCAAAGACCATATTCCCTTTGACCTCATATCTGCCAAATTCTGACGAGCGCAATATCTCCACGTCAAATCAAATTCGAGGGACAAAGATCACGATCACTGTGACCTCAAAAAGCATATTTTGGGCCATAACAAAAAAACGATTTCCTAATCTTGATTACTCGTTGTATACATTCAACTGCAACGCGGCAATTCTAGGTGAATTCCATGATTGTGCTTTTATTTAGCGTGCCGTTACATGTGTGTCGCCTCGGGTTGCTCTCAGGCTAAGCTGCGGCTCGAGATGGAGATGGAGAGGCAGAGGCAGACCCACTCCAAAGATATCGAGAGTAAGGATGAAGAGGTAGACGAGATCAGGCATTCTTGCAGTAAGAAGGTAGGTGCTGCTCTTTCCTGCTCTCAAATATGTGCTCATTTGTTCTATACATAGCTCCTCTATCTTTACAACTCAATTGATAGGGCCGGGTCAAGCCAGCACTCAGAAACACACTCACAAATGTGTGTTGAAATTCATTTTACTGAGAGACCCATGCAACTTGAGTTTGAGTTGAGTTTACTTTGGCAATAGTATCTGTCCATGCGGTAAACATATACTGTATGCTTTATTTATCATAAGAACGTTTAAATAATATGTATATAGTTTATAATACATTAGAACATGTCATAGGAACATACGGTACAAACGTAAAGCGTACATCTTCCTAACAGTGCACGCAGGGTTGTGACGTTAAGCATGTATTCTGTTACAGCTACTAATTGCCTTCGAAGAAATGTAATCAGTAACCTAATCTGAGTACCACAATATAAATGTAGTGTCACGTTTCTGTTGCCTTTTGATTACCTCAATATCAAATACTAGAAAGTATATTATGTGAGCAACCAAACAATATATACTTAGATTAAAAGAAACCAAGATGTTTGTTTAAAAAATTTGTTATTTGTTTAGTGTTTTTTAAACCTTGCTTCCATTATGCATCTTCAGGCTTTAGTCTGTAGAACAACAATTAAAGTACACAACACATGACCACATTATACAGTTAAAAAGAAGCAATAATAAAATGGAGCAATACATAATGCTCTGTTTTTGTTTGTTGAGTAGATGGCAACATTTCTACCCAGTGAAAGCATTCTTTAAACCAAAGGCCACGATGATGAACTGGAACATTTGCTATTGTTGTATGTGCTTTTGATTTTATTGTTCTTGATTTGAAAATCTATTGTTTCATTGTAATCCTGCTAGTAATCCTTTAAATATAAAAGTAATCTGATTATGTCTTTTGTTCCTATAAATGTAAGGGAATACAGGTACCTTTTTTTTAAATCCCAATTACATCGACCCATCTCATGTATTTCATTACTCCCAAAGCCTGAGTACACTGGGCGACTGTGGCTGCGAGGGAGTGCGGTCATCTTGTGGGTTCGATCCCAGCCCATGCCGCCCATGTCGATGTATCCTTGGGCAAGATACTTAACCTGAGTTGCTCCCGATGGCCAACGGTGTGTGAATGTGTGAATGTTAGGTCCTAGAGTAAGGTACACTGCTCTGTATGAATGGGTGTGAATGGGTGAATGACATGTAGTATGTAAAGCGCTTTGAGGGGTCGTAAAGACTGGATAAAGCGCTATATAAGTACAGGCCATTTACATGCATATCCAAAAAATGAAATACAATTTGGAGTACAATAAGTATTCTCATTTGTATCTAATACAAAATTATACATTTTATTTCCAAAGAATGTATCTTCAGGCTAGCATATTAGCTCAGGGGCATTTGTCTTCTACATGCGAGAGCAGCCGTGTCTAACAGGATGGAAGATGGTGTGTTATGTTTATCACTCATCATCTGTTCGTGCATCCTGACACTCTGTTCATGTGTCCTGCAGCTGAAACAGATGGAGGTGCAGCTGGAGGAGGAGTATGAAGACAAGCAGAAAGTGTTGCGTGAGAGGAGAGAGCTGGAGTCCAAACTGCTCAATGCCCAGGACCAGGTACAAGTGTGCAATTTAGTGCGGGCCACTTCTTTTCGATTGGAAAGAAGCCACTTTGTGGGTTTGTGAAGGAGGATGGGAAAATGGAGAGTGTGTAACAATACTTTTTCAAATAATGTGATTCAGGTGAGCCAGAGGGATGTTGAGACGGAGAAGAGGCTAAGGAAAGACCTGAAGAGAACCAAAGTCCTTCTGGCTGATGCACAGATTATGCTTGACCACCTGAAGAGTAACGCCCCCAGCAAGAGGGAGATTGCTCAGCTTAAAAATCAAGTATGCCACACAATCAAACAGCTTCCTGTGTATTCTGTGGAAAAAAACACATTTTGAACTGAGGTAAATCCTGAGCGTTTCCAGGACGGGGTGTCCGCGGGGTCTTAAAAAGTATTAAAAGTTGATAAATCAATTTAGCGAAAATTAAGGCTATTAAAAAGTATTAAAAACTTTTAAAGGGCATTTTCCAAGGTATTACATTTTGTAGCTTGTTTTCAATAAGTATATCATTCGCCAAATAGGTTGTATTCTACAGTTTGCCTGAATGTAATCATTGCGTAGGTGTGTAGGTGTGTGGTGTGATTCTTTGTAGTTTATTTATGGCATCCCGTTGGATTTTACGTCATCTGAACAGGACATCGCACGCTCACTGCTTGATAGCGCGCGAAGGTCCGTTTACGCCGGTTTTTAAACAACATCGTTATGGGGAAATGCAAGTTTGCGTCCAAATGGTTGGAAGATAAGGAGGAAGGACAATAAATACTGTGTATATAGTCAATGTGAGGTAAAGTGTGTCACCAATGTAACCGGTTAAAACTCCAAGTGGCGATGAGGTCTTAAAATGTATGGAAAGGGTCTTAAAAAAGGTCTTAAAAGGTATTACATTTGACTTCAGGGTTCCTGCCTATACCCTGCAGGATAGATCCTTGATCTGTGCCCATTAATGGTTCTCCCTATCCTCCCTTCCGGCATCTTTCCCTCCCTCCTGTTTCTCACAGCTAGAGGAGTCAGAGTTCACTTCCGCAGCAGCAGTGAAGGCTCGAAAGAGCATGGAGATCGAAATAGAGGACTTGCATATCCAAATGGAGGACGTGGTCAAAACTAAGATGTCGGTGAGTTTTGACACAAGAATATTTGGTAAAGTCAAACAGTCACCAAAGGGGTTTTCCATGACTAAGACATGACGATGTCAAGACTGCACCAACGTCACTTCATATTAGCTTTGACTGTTAACATGCAATATTGTTGATGAAAAATAAAGAAGACTAATATAACATTTGAGAAATTAAAACTTATTTCAAATAGGATACTTACTATTATCAACAATGAGAACAGTCAGAAGGACTCAGAGATATTTAGATACACTGTATAGACTGAAAAGGTAAATATACCATGTTTCAATTTTGATTGACATAAACTAAAATAGTTATGAATTTATTTGACTTAGATACGACATTAATGCTCTGACATGACTAAATAAAAACTGCTGGCTGCAAATGCACTCATTGTATTTCCATACATGTATGTTAGTCTACAATCCCAATCAGTTCTTCATATGTTTCTAAAACAATACAACTTTTGACAGCAGTGTGTATATTATCACACATTTATATTTCATATATTTATAGAAACAAACAAAAAACCTACCCCGGTCTTTCATCTCACAATACAGACAGTACTTTTTGATACAAAAACAAATTGTTTCTGTAAATGCTTCTATATTCATCTTTTTGAGAGCCAATACAACCCCAAAACAGCAAACACAGTTTATTATTGATGCAGGTTTTCTGCCTTCACTCTTAGGAATACAGCGGGGTTCTAACAATGATATGTGTGCATCATCAAACCATGGTGGGGTGTTAAAATAATAAATGCCCTTTGGCAGCATATATCTGAATTCAACATTTATCTCTAATGGATAAATAAGCTTTGTTGACTGTTGTTTTTTTCTCTCCATCTGCTCATTAATGGCTGTCTCCTGAGGGCGCTGCCTCGTAGACTGAGGGTGTTTGTGTCTCTGGGGACGACACGCAGAGTGCTGTGTGCCTGTGCTTTGCTTGTTAATTGCTGCATTTATGGCAAGGGAAGGTCTTGTAAAATTTCCCAGATTAGAGAATGCATATGAGGGTCTGAGTCCCCCTAAACACAGAGGAGGAACTCTAAATAGGACATCACCAGTATGCTGCACTTTCTTCAGCCCAAATAAACCAATTGATTATCTCCAATTGCTCTCATCCTCCAGCCTGAACCCCAACTCCAGATTGTGTTTCTCTGCCATCAGATGAGATTCCAGCACTAACGACCATTTATCATATTCAACAGCTCATGAATAAATCCTGTCATTCTACTGTACGCAAAACAATGTGTGTTTCCTCCTGCTTTCGTCCTTCAGCTGGAGGAGCAGGTTAGCCGCCTGCAGAGGGAGAAGAACGACCTGCAGTCTCGTAATGACGAGGATCAGGAAGACATGAATGAGCTGATGAAGAAACACAAAGCCGCAGTTGCCCAGGTAACCAATCATGCCTTTGTGAGAAGTTGAAGAAGCCTATATAAGAGAAATTAAAAATAATTACAGATGTCTGAATTTTTCGGTTATCAATGCTCACACCAAGATCAATATCCAACAAAAATAGTGAGTGGTTGAGTGTAGCTAAGTACATTTACTTAAGTAATTGAACCTATTGTGCTTTCTTTTTTTTTTTTTTTGGGTTTTCCCTTTGGTGAGTTATATAGGTTTTTGTGCATGTAAATGGTCTGCAAAGGCTAAAATGCCACACTCCACCCATGCCTGAATTGATTTTACTCCTTTGTTTAATTCCGTTACATAATGACTTCACAAAAATAAAGACATTAAAGCATGTCACATGTCAGAGTAGAGTAGAGGCAGAAAATACAAATATGAACCTGACAATTATAATGATAGGGCCCCCTTTAGTGTATTTTTGAGGCACTTGTACTTGAGTATTTCCCTCTGAGATGTAGTGGAGTAGAAGTATAATTCCATTATTTTACTCTTTAAGCTTCGTTTTACCTAATACATGTCATTTACATAGCGCTCTTAAAAATACTCTATGACACTTTACAAAAGTCACACTTCACAACAATTCAATTGGTCAATATAATTCAGTTTGGCGGGGTTTTGACATGGGGGGTGGGATTTCCATGGGAAAAGGAGGGCTGGTTTTGAGGGCTGGTTTGAAGGAAGATATAGTAGTTTACTGTCATGATGCATTCATAGGATATACTCTAAGTATACATATAAAGTACACACTACTACTACTACTACAAATCTCCTTGGTAGTACCAAAGTACCCATCCAGTTTGACAATCTTCAACATTAAAAATAACTATTACTATACTACTATTTTTTCTTGATGAAGACAGAATAATATATATTTATATTACTATAAGATACTTTAAAAAGAGCCATTCTGCTCAATGATAGATTTCTCCCTTCTGATACTTTTAATTTGGAGGCATTTTTTAATTGTTATTACATTTTAGAATTTGTAGGCTGGCGTCTTTAAAATGAACACTGTTCTTTTCTGCGTGTTTAAGTAGAGGGGCTTTGAGGTTTATTGGACATATTCCCCTCTAAACGCAGTGTGCTCTGCAATCAGGGAGAAGCAATCTGTTCTGCAGCAGATAACATGACAAATGATTTGGCATACACATGCTATGTTCATTTGCCATTTACATTAAGGGATGTTTTTCATTTAACAGACAATTGAAGCACACATCGGCACGCCCTTCCTCTCTCACACACATGTACCCACATTTTCTGACTGTTGTCTTTGTGTGTGTGTGTGTGTGTGTGTGTGTGTGTGTGTGTGTGTGTGTGTGTGTGTGTGTGTGTGTGTGTGTGTGTGTGCGTGCTCTAGTCTGCCAGGGACTTGGGCCAGATCAGTGACCTGCAGGCCCAGCTGGAAGAAGCCACAAAGGAGAAGCAGGAGATCCAAGAAAAGGTACAAGGAAGTATTGAAAAGCACTACAGCCGCCTGGCAGGAACCCGCATGCTGCCTTAACACTTCTCTCTGATTAGACCTCAGCTTTTCTCTGAGTTCCTCTGATTATTGTGACCGAAAAATGCCCCGTTTCTGTGGAAGCTTTCTTCTCAAAATTGCAATGCAATTTGCATTTAAATAGCAGGAATCAGCGAAGATTTGGAGTCAAGGAGAGAAATTGTTCTTTTGCATCTGAGTACTCATGTTTAAAGGTAGGGTCATGTATATAAACGCAGGAGCTTGTTGCCATGGTTTAACCAATTAGGTACACTGAAAGGGCTCATCCTGCTCCTTTCAACACATTTATTTTTCAACTCGGTGAAGCAGCTTCTGTCTCATGGATTTCTCTAACATGCAAGTGCATCATATTGTTTTGAAATATCAAAAAAAATCTGTAAATGAAAAGGTAGAATTTGGAAATATCATCGGACATAATGGCAACACTTTGTGACTAATAGAATAGAAAATCATGAATATGCAATTTAATTCTCCAATTTTTTAAAAACCCTGACAACCTGCCCACAGCAGAGTCATTTTGTAAATGTCAAACTCCTGCTCTTTGCTCTAAAGAACTCATTTCAAGCATATGGGACCAGGGTCGGGACGATTATCCTGGGAATTTGTTGTATGTCATTCACAATATTATCCCGATAATCAACACAAATGAAGTAAAAATTCTAGCTTAAAATAGAACCTCACATAGTTAAGTATCATATATTTGATTTCAGATCTTTTTTGCACTTCCCAACCATGACAGTGAGCTAGACAGCATTTAAAATCACTCTTGAGTATTTTCTTTTTTTTTTATTCTTTATTTATTTGGGGTCACATTATAGTACAAGTACAGTTTTTCAAATCATATATTTTTAGAGACCCGAAAGTGACAAATGAAATAGCAAACAAAAAAAAACACAGGGGTTGTTTGAAATAGCAAATGTCTACACATGTACATATGCATACATATCAACATACATATATACATTCAATACACATACACACACATACATGTGACCATCTATGGTCACATGTATGTGTGTGTATGTGTATTGAATGTATATATGTATGTTGATATGTATGCATATGTACATGTGTAGACATTTGCTATTTCAAACAACCCCNGACCTTCTCACCCGCCTTTACTCACTCTACCGCCGTTCAGCCAAAAAATGGAGGCAGCTGAAGGACCTCGGAGAGGCTCTTGAGGAGCATGTATTAGCCGCATTCACACCGCAGAACTTTCCCTGGTACTTTGGTTCTTTAGTTCCGTTAGTACCAATAATGTCACGTTCACACCGCCGGGACTACTCAGTGCCGGGAACTCTTTTGGCCATTTTCAGTCCCTGCGAGAGAGGTGGTACGAACCTGGTGATAAAAGAGTGCCAATTTATATTCTATTTCTATTGGCTGGGCGAATTGCAAACCACGCCCCGTTAGACTCTGAATTATTTTTGTTTGAATGATGAGGAAGTGTCGGCGCTTCTGGCAATTTACTCTGAGGACGGGATGCAGCAGCTTCTACAGAAAGCAGTTCCCAACTCCAAATGTTTTGAGCAATGTTCGCAAAAGCTACTTGAGCGGCGTGATGCCGTTATTGTTATGTCTTGACTGTGCAATAAAACAAACAAACTGGCGAAGCTTTATTTATTGTGTCCCACCCCAAATTTGGAGAATAGAAGTATGTGAGAGCAGACAGGTGTCGGTGGTTGAATTTATCTACAATGTTGCAACCTTGTGCAGCAATGGCAGGGGCAGAAACACAAGTCTTACACACATAAACAAAAGTAATTGATCATGTCATTTGTTTTAGATAAATAAGGGAAAAACACCAAACAACGGTTAATGTCCTTTTCCAAAATCAGCCTGAGGGGGTAATATATAATAAATACATAAAGATAAAGTCCATTGTTATAATGGGGTATTTTATTTGTAAATTACCCTTATAACCCAGCCTCATGGTGCACATGATTCTTTGCTTGGACATTTTGTTGGTTTGAGTCATTTGAGCTCGGATTCTAGTAGGGACATAAAGTAACACGTATCTTAGGAAGATATGAACTTCATCTTGGTGATGTTGATGCTGAATTCACTATTTAGTAGATAATCATGTGACACTTTATCTTTGCACTACGGTCTGTCTGCTGAGCCTACTTATTATATATATATATATATATATATCATGTACAGCGGGTGGGCTTTACACCCCCTCCCCCGTGTAGTTTTTCTTCTCTCGTTTTTTTTTGTACTCGCCGTGAAGTGGTTTTGCGGCCTGCCAGTAAACCCAGAGAAGAAGAAGACGAAGTGACGTCAGAGTAATCTTGCCTCAGGGAAAGTACTGCGGTGTGAATGCGATTGGCACTAGCCCCCTGGCGGATTCAGTGCCGTGGTACTTTAGTGCCGGCACTAAATTACGGCAAGTCCTGCGGTGTGAAAGCGGCTATTGAGCGCTTCACACAAAAAAATGTGTTACTTCACAGTTTTACGACGCATTTTTATTTTTTTTGACTTGCAAAATTATCTTTTAAATTGACAAACATCATATGTGTAATTCGTTGCACAATTCAAACGGGATCAAAAGATAATCTTTCTCTCTCCATTGACTAAAATACATGATTTTTCCGAAATAAGGTCCCATGGAGGTCCCCACTCTATAGTCAGTGTAACAGAAAGCAGGAAACACTGACCAATCAGCAGAATAAACTATTTTAGGGGCGTGGCTTAAAGAGACAGGCGCTAAAAATAAGCATTTCAACCATACATTATCTAAAAAAATAAAAGTAGGATGAATACAAGTATATTCAGATTGACAGTGTAAGAAAAATAATGTGCTTTTGTAACATTAAAGCCTGTAAGCATGATCTAGTAGCAGCCCAAAATCAAAGCATGAACCTGAAAATGACCATGATGTGTGCTCTTTAGAGAAACCGTTTGTATGACTTGGCGTCATCGAAAGCTGCGATAGCAATTTGCAGCCAAAAAATGAATACTTTTCGTCTCAATTTTGCATGTCAGTGCAGCAAACGTCTGCGGCCAAAGCACTAAATAACAGGGGGGGTGGCACGGTAAACACAGACTTGCTTGGCTTTGTCGAGCTAATGACTTCCTGCTCCAGTGGCTTGTGAAACAGTGTTAGAGCCAAAATAAGTAAAAATCGGGGGCAGAATTTAATCTGTCACTCAATGGAAAGCCTTTAAGCAGAAACATGCAGCCACCCAGAGGCTGCACACAAGTGAGGGGAAATTACAGCGAAGCTCCCAGGCACTGAGTGAGGCGCCAGCACAGGTCGTGTTGTGTATAGGACTGAGGGTTACAGATTGGTTGGATAAATAAGGGATTCTTTGAAGCAAAACACACCGAGTGTGAAAGTCAACCAAGGTGGTAATCTAAAACCATCAATTATTTGAGGCTAGGTAAACTCCAGCTATGTAGAATACAGATTGTCGTGGGGAGGAAGGATGCGATTGCTCCTGGTTTTTTTGATCTTCCTGAATTCGCCTCAAGCTCAGTTTTGAACTGTGTAGCTGTGCTCATTTTTTGACAACCCATGTTGCAAGGAAGTGCAAGCAATTATTCTCCAACAGCTCAGAATGAATAATTTCAATGAATTGTTTGTTGCCTCTAGTCTCCTGGGAAAAGTGGATGGGTATGATGAGAAGTTACTCTGGGGTGGATGAGCTAAAATTAATCAAACACATCAATGGCTTCTTCTAACCTCCTTTTCTCCAATTGTTTTCTGGCTGTGCTGCATTTGAAACAAAAATTGCATCCAAATTATACCTCTATGCAATTATAGCAAGCCAACATTGATTCTGTAAACAAACAGCTGAATTTATTTACGGAAAAATCTCCAAAAAGCACTCATTCCACAAATTATCTGTTCAATAATGAAAACAGACAAGCCTTTTCAAGAGTTATCATTTACAAACTTTTGAAACATTATGTCTAATGCCAAAAACTCCAACCAAGATGCAATACAACTTAAAAATAAAAATCATTTAACAAGTCTATTCTGAATCACTGACATCAAAGTTCCTGAACATAAATATTCATGGGTGAAAAAAGGGAAAAAATAAGACATGCAATGCAGATTAGCCTTTTTCTGAGAAGATATGCAAATATCAAGCCAGACACTTGAGCATTTTCTTTGCACTCGAGCAGACAGTCCACATGCACATAATACTGTACATGCTGTTTTATTCATATCCACCTACACGTAATTTAAACAAAATTATCTGCGGTTATCATTACAATTCTGTGATGCCAAATGTAGAAATAACCAGCGAGTTTCACGAGTGTACAATCAGCAACATATAAGGGTGTTCTTAAAGCAGACTGGCTTTAATTTAAGGGTATTCTTGGCATAATTATTTTATAGTTTGACATGTAAACCCTCCCGTGACACAGCCTGGGAATAACACAATATCATTATACGACTGCTGCTCAATGTGCTCATTGGTAGTCATGGATCAATCCCAATTTTTTTCTTACAGGCAGAATATCACCGGTTTCATGAACACAGTCTTTGGCACCTTCAATTTGGAGGACTCTATTGTGGGGAATAGGATGTCATTATTTTACGGTTTAATAAATTAATATGGCCAAAAGATCCCTTGATTCTAGAAAACCTGCAAACATAAAAATGCAATACAAACATTGATATGGACTTTATACTGGTATATTATTCTGCAGGATTCAACATTAAAACAAGATTTAATTAAAATTATGATTTTCCAGTGTTTATGCATCTTTAAAAAATGCTCTACAGAAAGCTACTTTGTAATAGCAAACAAACATATTCCCTTTAATCCTATAATAATACACAAGTCGACAAAAGTATTAGAGATTGAACTCCACAAGAAGATAAGAGTAAACCAGGGATATATCCTTATCCTAAGGAAATACAAAATATCTTAATTCACTTGAATATTACATTCACATAAAGGCTTAAATTCCTCATATAATAATGTATATATCGCTATAAAATGATTTCTAGATCACTTTTCTTTAAATCCATGCCTCAACTCAGCATTTCAAACATATATATATCACATCTAACAGCTTAGTTCAAATACAAATGTGTTTTCCACGTTCATGTCAGTAATCATGACCTAGCATCACTTTGTTTAAATGATGCATATCTGAACTTGGAACAAGAGCCACATGTTAACTACAGCGAGATAATTAATGAAAATGGGTTAATACCTCCCAACGCGCTAGTCCAAATTAACAGGGAAGAGATAAGAACTTCGTCTTAATAGCCGGTCAGAGCTTCTTGGAGAAATGTAGCTTATCTAAATCCTCTTGACAGGGCGATGTGGAGAGTCAGAGGAGTGCTCAAATTTGCCAGAAAAGCAGCTATTATAAATCAAGCAGCATCATGTGATACCATCTTCCTTAACTTCTTTAATATATTTTGTTAAAATAAATCAGAGAAAGCACATATTAAACATGGACTCTTATCTGTCCATGCCGCTGGAAGCCTCTCTTTCTGGCTGAAAAGTGGCGAATAAATTGGGGGGAAATAATTCCTCCTGCGTCTGATGTCACGAGGTGACCTGAGTCTGGGTTACGATGTGCTCTCTGCCAGTAAGCCTCCTCCGTCGCTCTGCCTCAGCGACTGCTTGCTGTCCGCCTCATCCTCTTCATCAGATCTGCCGAGGCTCAGGTGTCTGCGGCACACAGGAGGACTATAGGGGTCAACACACACAGAAACACAGGATTAAACTCTCCCCCCAGGCGGTAAACAACACATCCCCTGAGGCGTGCATCACTTATGTGCACATTCTTGCAAGTTTTGTAATATATCGGAAAAACGCATCTGATATAATTGTGGTCCAAAGTCCTAGATGAGACACTATTATTCGGATTAACACACATAAATCATCACAAGAAATGTCTTCACAAAAAAAACACAGAAAGCATGCATATTTGACATGAGTAATAAGTATGTGCAGTTAAAATGGGAAATGTCAGGAATCAAGGCAAGTTTATTTATATGGGACATTTCAACACAAGGGAATTCAAAGTGCTTTACAAAAAACATTAAAGGGGCCCTATTATGCACTTTGGGGTTTTCCCTTTCCTGTAGTGTGTAATATAGGTTTTTGTCTGCAAAGACTAAAATCCCAAACACACCCCACCCCCCAAATCAAAATAATTCAAATGAAAACAAACTAAAATAGACAAGTTATAAAGTACAGTGCAGTGTAAGGTATCAAAAGTGTGTTGATTGAAATAAAAGCAGCAGCTAAATGAAAGCTCTTCTGCTGCTTCAGCATCAATAAACTCAACAACTGAGATTAATCCTGTAGTCTGTGTTCAACGTCACATACTCATTAAAGGTCATTTGGAACCAGAGCTTTACATCCTTAGATTATGTTGTCATGGCAACACACGGTATGACAAGCATTCAATGTATTACTTGAATACCAACATTGGAGATTGCATTTATCCACAATGCCATGGCCCCTGCCATTTACTCACAGAGGAAAATAACAACATGTCCTTGTCAGCACTATGACACCCAGAAAGAGCAACCAGTAATACCTTTCTACTATTGGAAAAAAACCTACGGTATGGAGCTTGAAGTATTGGATATTTGGAAAAAGGCTTAAGTTCGGGCAAAGAAGTGGACTTTGTGAAGATAAGCATGACGTAACCCATAGTCAGACATTAGAACAAAGGCAATGGATTTACTAACAGGTCTTTTTTTGTACAATGAAAGTGACACTTTGTTTATAGGAGATGTTTTAATCAGTATTTGGGAATTACCTGATGTTGCCTTGAAAACTAGGGCCACATATTTGCCAGTCAGGAGGCACAGGGGCTGGGTCTGAGCCAGGGTCAGGGTAACCCGGTTTGCAGTGCATTTCATTTCAACCTGTGGCCTCTCTGAGATACATTGGCATTGAGCATGTTAGATATCAGAGAACATGAGGTTATTTAAGCAGCCTCTAAGAGTATAAGAGTAAAACCCAAAAGGTCTGAATCAAGGGTATGAGATCAAAACATTTTCTGTAAAATAATTAATAAATAACCATGGTTGTATCATGATGGCTCTCCCTACATACCTGTATACAGTATATACACTTTGTTTTCAAGCGTAAAAGGAAGGATGTTTCAATCCATACTGTTTCTTTATAGCAGATACATATTTGTATTTTGTGCTTAGTTTACATGCATGGAGTCCAACGAGGTGTTTCAGGCAGTGGGGGAGTGTGTGGGAGAATTTAGCCTTACAGACCATTTACAGAAAAAGGTAAACCCGAAAAAGAACAAGAGGGCCCCTCTAATATTCAAGTGTTACTGTTTTGTATGTACTTTTTCTAAGTGCTCAATTCAATTCTATATTGTTTGTGGGTGTTCGAGCATAAGTATTTGGATGAACTGACCATATTGATGCTGTTTTAATGTTAGCCGTGCATTTACTTGATAATGAATCAATTTGTATCGCCTGTGTCATCTTCAGTCCACTCAAACTGTCTTTATTCATCCTGCAGTGATTCAAGAGCTAGAGAGCCAGTGTTACACTTAAGAGGCAAACAAGTTCAAGGACCATTTTAAACAAATCAAGCCGCCTGTCTTGCATTTTGCAACTGTCAGTGAATCACTTTCACAGTAGACAGGCTTTTGAAGCTTGGAGCTAAACTTAGCGTCTTAATTACGATGCAAAGTATTCACATCAAGCCATATCAGCAGTCATGTCACAACTCTTTAAACTCAATGTTAAAGCAAAGATTGGTATCATTTCGTTTTTTTCTAATTGCCAACATCTGTTTGTGCTTAAAGACGCAGCAAAACAACTCTCTCTCAATCCTATTTGCTTTTAACACAACGTCAGGGAAAACACGACAATCCATCTTTGCAAAGTAACAATTATTTACAACACTATACGGCCGATGAAACTTATTTCACTGCACCGCTTCTTAAGCATAAATAAGTGTTGAGGCAACAAAGAGAAAAGCCATGCATTGCAGTGACGATGGGCAAGAAACCTCGCGTCAAATGTAAGCTACAAAGATAATGTGTTATATATCAATTTTTTGGATTATCCAGACACTGCATGTATCCGCGCTGTGATTCAAAAACGCTCAAAAATGTAATGGGTTCTTCTTTTGTCCATTCTACACCCTTTCACTAAGATTCATTTAATTGGGCTAGTAGTGTTTGAATAATCAAGCTGACAGACTAACAAACAAACCAAGCTAAAAACATAACCTCCCTGGCAGAGCCCGTAATAAAACAGAAGTGACTGGAGTTTGCAGTGGTACAAACTGAAGGGATAACTACAGTATACTGCAGTAAATTGGCAATTTGTTTAGATGTGAATGGATGTTGGCAGGAGCATAAGCACAACAAAAATCAGTGGCATGCACTAATTGGCCATGTGACTTTTGAAAAACGCAGCCAAGGCTCATTTAGTAGTCAGCATTAGTGTATCAGAGTATTACATACAAAACATTTTCACACGGCAAACCAAGTTAGTTTATTCTGCGAATGATCTTGAATCAGTTTCAGGAACGCTAGGCTCCAGGGGTTATTGTCACACCGTGCATCACCTTTTGGTGTATGTATCAGTCACTGTCAGGCTTGTAGCGGTACTTCATCATCAAGTTATCCATCTTCTTCTGCTTTTTCTTGGTTTCCTTCTTGCTAGATGTCCCACGGCCTGCAGGCTCTTGCTCATCATCGTCAGACGGTTGTTTCGGGGCCCTTTTAACGCTGCTAGAGCTGCGATAGGAGACGGTGGAGTCGGAGGAAGAGGACTCGGATGTCTTTGAGGAGGAAGAGGAATCCTCCGATTCGCTTTGCTTCTTCTTAGATTTCTTCTTGGACTTCTTGCCCTTCTTCCCCCTTGAGCTCTTTTTGCTGTGGCGATCATCAGAGGAGGAAGAGGAAGAGTCGTCGGACAGAGAGACTTTGCTTTTTTTATCTTTCCGACTGCGGGAGCTGCTGGTGCTCATGGTGCTGGATGACCGATTGCTGTAGTCCAGAGCGGAGCCCGACGCTGAGCGAAGCAGGCTGGAGCTTCGCCCCTCGTCTTCTCCCTTCTTCCTACCTTCCTCGCCTGCCGGTCCCTTGTTCTCATCTTCTTCCTCCTCGCTTGACTCCTCAAGCTTGCTGCGCTTGAACTTAATGGGTTTGAAGCTCAGCACCTCATTGATTGCAGCTTCCAAGTCAGGGTCCAAGTAGTTTCGTCGGGTGACAGACTTTATTTCAGATGAATCTGGAAGATTTGCTTCTGAGGAACGTGATTGGCCAGGGTTAGAAAAGCTGCGACTGAGGGATGAAGTTCCTCCTTCAGTATAAGCAACACTACGGCCATCATCATCGTCATCGTCACTGTGTGCTGTATGCAAGCCAAATTCGCTGAGACCACAGCTGCGGGTAACGGACAGGCGTGAGCTACTGCGTCTATCGTCCTTCCAAGAGCTGCTGCGATGTAACCCCCTAGGGCTGGATCGGCTCACGCTGCTGATAGTTGACTTGTTGTCATCGTCCATGTCTACAATGCCCCTCCTGGTGGACATCCTGCTGGGAGCCACAGAGGACACTATGGATTCCTTATCAAATTCCGGGCTACTGCGGGAGGCCCAACGTGACTCCAGACCCTTCCTGGCTCGGCTGGTCGCTTCAGAATAAGCCATGGAGATGACGGAGCTTTTGTCGTCAAAGTCTTCCTGTGCCTGGCTCTTCCCCTTGGCTTTGCGAATGGAGGCCTGGTCTGGTGCGTCAGGCTGTTCTTTGAGAGTGCTAAACAAGAAGCTTTCATCGCCTGTACCCCCTATGGAGTCTTTCAGGTTGGAACGCTTCCTGTAGCTCAAGGAACTCATGACAGACACTGATCTGTTCGGCTCTACCTCTTTTGAGTCTTTATTTCCGTCAATCGTCTTTTCCTTACCTTCTTTCATCTCCTTGGTATCTGCATTTGCTGCATATCTGGAAGGTTGTGTCATAAAATTGACAGCAAGAAACCCAACAGAAGAAAACAAATCAGTGGCCAGTTGCATGGAATACCTTGAGTCATTTTAAGGTTTCCTTGAAATGTTCACTCAATTATTGAAGGTAACCTCCCTATCTCAGTCTTATAGTTAATTAATCCCTTCAAGGTAATATAGTTTTAAGTGTTGCACAAATAATATTAGCAGCCAAAGTAAGGACACAAACTTAAACTCAAATTGGCAGAGTGTATGGCCATAAATTAAGAAATGTAAGGCATTCCAAGAAAAGCAGAACCTGATGATATACTTCACGAGGACCAATTGATTTTAAACTTAATAACCTTCCATTCAGACATTTCTTTCACTGTTATAAAACAGTTACTTCAAGTAAGCTGTAAGTATCCTGTACGTTAAACATCCAAGTCATTCTTATCAGTTTGGTTGGATTTCTTCCTGTAATAAGTCATCTATTTTTTGGCCAGAACAGACTGTTGTAAGTTGTAGAATTTCTTTTGCACTTCTTGAATACATTTTTCATTGCAATTTCATCATTGCTATCATTACATTAACTTTTAAGTAGGGCCTATGTTATAGAGCTATATCAGGGTCATAAGTTTTGATCTTTCAAAAAAATACAATTTATTTGAAAGTTCGAGTTTTATCCTGAACTTTGAAAAATACAATGAGTTTCAAAATAAAAATAAGTATTTGGAATAACTTTTCAGGTTGAATATTATTTTGATTCAGTTCAGCAATTTTTTTGAATAAAATATTTATTTTCATATTTCACTTTTATACACATTCTGATATTTGAATCCTTATTTTTTTTAGTTGCATATTTTACGTTTTCAATTTTTGTTCGCCTTCGGATCTTTTTTCACTCTCAGATTTTTGGCCCTGATGTTGCTTGGGGGGGGGGGCTTACCAAAGAGTAGTTTGGTATCCTGAGTGACAGCCCTCCCTCTGTCATGTTGCCTTCATGGATGTAAGGTAGCGCGAGAAATATAACTCAACACTTTCTATACTCCCATGATTGGTGGTAAACAAAACTGATACCAGCGTCAAAGTTCCGTTAAGCGAGCTGTTGATCATCGTAGTTGGCAACAATCAAGGTATAAGAGCAATAAACTGTGCTAGAATGTGAAATGACGTATCCACAACGAGCCAGCAGGTTGTTCTGGTGGACCTGACGCAATCCCCCGCTGTCTTACGGAGAGATACCGCAGGTCCTTCCTTCCTGCAGCGGTCAGACTATACAACCACCACGGCCCTTAGTAGACCCCACCCCACACACAACAACAGAATATAACACCCCTTGCTGTTAAATACCAACTATGTGTTACACAGCATCCTGTGTAACACATAGTTGCAGGGTGTGTATTTTGTAAATTGTATAACTTTTGATTTTATTATAAAACATTTTTTTACTTTAATACTTATGCATGTAACATATGTACCATTAAGCTGTCTGTGGCTCGTTTTCTGCTGTAACAACTTACATTTCCCCTCTGTGGGACTAATAAAGGTATTCTGATTCTGATTCTGATTCTGAACTATACGATGCTCAACATCTCGCTTAAGGGTGGGGTAGGTAATTTTGGAGAAACCGGCTCGAGTGCGCTAGAATTTGAAAATACACAGCTACATACAAAAATCTGCCACTTCCTTACAGAGCCCCTCCTCCAACACACACGAACGCACACATGAACAATGAGGGCACGAGATAAGTTTGTGCACAGATGGAAAGCTGACAGGCAGGTAGGCCATCCAGTTATTTTAGCCGGGCCGGCTAAAATGATTGGTCGTGCTTTTTACAGTGCTACGGCTTCCACAGATGACATTTTTTTAATGGATTTTTTGCCAAAGCACTAAATATATTCATTGCTATCGGGATGTTAAGAGCATTCCATGGAATATAACAAAAAGTGTATCTCGAGCCGGTTTCTCAAACTTACCTACCCCACCGTTAACGGAACTTTGACGCTGGTATCAGTTTTGTTTACCACCAATCACGGGAGTATTGTGTATAGAAAGTGTTGAGTTATATTTATCGCGCTACCTAACATCCATGAAGGCAACATGACAGAGGGAGGGCTGTCACTCAGGATGCCAAACTACTCTTTGGTAAGCCCCTCCTCCCAAGCAACATCAGGGCCAAAAGTTTGAAAGCGACCAAAAAAGATCTGAAAGTGAAAAAAGATCTGAAGGCGAAAAAAAGTGAAACCTGAAAATACAAGATTTGAAACTGAAAAAATAATGGTTTTGAATCTGAAAACGTAAAATCTGCAACTGAAAAAAATAAGGATTCAAATATCAAAATATGTATAAAAGTGAAATATGAAAATAAATATTTTATTCCAAAAAATTACAGAACTGAATCAAAATAATATTTAACCTGCAAAATTATTCCAAATACTTATTTTTCAAAGTTCAGGATACAAACTGGAACTTTCAAATGAATTGTATTTATTTTTAATGATCAAAACTTATGACCCTGATATAGCTCCATACTATATGTGCCTTCTTTATTGCACTTCTCTTGGTATATAATAATTCCTTCCTCTGAACAATCTTTTTTTATTTCTCTCAACTTTGTAAGAAAATAACAGGTATAACAATCTCAAGTGCAAGCAAACTGTCTCCATGGAAACAGAAAAATTGAAATGGTAATTCCTTAATGGTATTCCTTCACTCATGAAACCTTATGTTTTCCCTAAGTTAAGTAGAAAGAGTAGAAAGAGAAAACGTAAGGTGTTTTGTGCAAATGGACAGATTTGGCAGGCATACTTAAAGGACACATTCTAAAATTTTTTGATCTTCCATATGCATCATGCTTTATGTGGCAACTGAGATTTTTGCTACCTTGACAGAATATTAGATTTGTCATTTTGTCCTTGGGACCTGTCCTGAGTCTATTGCTGTTATGTACAACATACACTGTAGAAAGAAGGCAATCAACCGGCGAGGAGATCTATCTAAATGTGGCAGAGCGACATTAAGCAGCCGTGCCAAATGGCCACGGGCCACTTCAATACATTTGACTGCAGCCGCTTCCCTGTTCCGCCTCCTGTCATTAGACAGATTACTATACTGTAAGAGAGAGATGACACCTAATCACATGAGATACTCGTCGTTCGGTTGCAAAATGCCCCGGGTAATCCTGGGCCTTTTTAAGGCTGGGAATGTGGGTTCTTTTATCACCGGGATATACAGTACATGGGTTATCTGTCATGATGCAAAAGGATGTGAGCACTAACCTGGTACTCTTTAGACTTCCCTCTTCTGACAGTGTCTTGGTGGAGCCTTTGTTCTTCGAGAGCCAAGTCTTAACTCCATCCACACGGTCCTCCACCTCGGAGTCAGTTTCAGTTTCATCCCCACTGCAACGATACAAGAATTTAGCTCCAACACAATTTTCAAGTGCATAAAGCAAGTAAGGTAATTCCCCTTTATACAAATCAGTAATTTTCCTAAATACCCACAACTGATATTATTCAAATAAATGTGCCTAATGCAATGGTTCGGAATCCATTTAGGCAGGAAAATAAATTAGACTAAATGACTCGATATGTGAATATTGTAGGCAGTGTACCATCACACAAATTACACAGGCAAAAATAGTTATCAGTTTTTACAAAGATCACAAGCTTTTTGTTGGTAATTTGTCAGTTTAAGAGGGCAGTATGATGCAAGGCAATCCAGACAGGTAAGCATTATTTGGTTAAGCATGATAGATTGACACAATATTAACGTAATGAAGATGATTTGTTGACAGAATGTTCAGTAGACGTGGGTGGGATGAGTGATCGAGGCAGACTGTAGATGAAGCTGATCGAGAAATAATGAACTTGTTTGGCTGGTTCTGGGCTGCTAGCATCTGTGTGGCATGTCACCTGCTCCTAGTGATTGTTATTGGAGAGGAGCTGCGAGACAGCGCCGTGGCCCGACGCCTGACATAACAATCAATATACAGGGACCTGTGGATCCCCATGAAAAAGCTTGGTAGATCCCACCTGGATAAGGTCAATCGTCATTCGTTGCAAATCCACAGTGAATTATGCATCCCATTGTTTGATAAGGTTAAGTCAAAGCTGCCAACATCGTTGAAATGTATTTGGGAGATGTATTACATGAAATAGACCTCCGAATGTTAAAGGACACATTGCTTCTGACTACACTTCTTCGCTATGTGATGTGTAAAAATGTAACTGTAATTGTAACAATCAAAGAGACAGTCGTAAAATTACACAAATATGCATATATCAGAAGGACTTGTTTTCAAATTAATTAATCAATTATTTTTTTATATTTTATTGTAATGTAGAGACAAGGCTTTTAGCAACAATCATCTATTGTGTTACAATTATATGTAAAAAAAAAAAAAAAAGAATTGAAAAAAAAAAAAACTCTTAATATGATATTTGGCCTCAAATCATCTGAGGCCTGGCGCACCCCCAGGTTGGGAAGCACTGCTGTAATGTATATTATAACACATTGCATCAGGAAAAAATAGGGGCAATTACAGGGTTGTGGAGGAGCTGCAATTTTCAATTCCAGATGGTCATTTTCGGACAAGCTTCTCTATCTGAGTCTTCGAACATGTTGAATGTGAATGAACATGTTGAATAAAAAATGTTTGAAAAATGCTTATAAGCAGGAGCAAACAATATGCAGGGAGGTGTGATATGACAGCCAGACTGCTGAGTTCCATCATTTGTCCACATATCCCTCTCTGCAGGCCTCCCCGTGAACAGCACACCATTTCCTTTTGTCACCAAGCTTTGTGTCACACATGTTTCCTCAGAAAACAAAGTGTCCTCTCTGTGTCTGTATGTTTTTGGATACCTCTTTTTGAACACTAAAGAGGTGGTGGTGATGTGAGCATTGTTAGAGGATGAGCACAGACAGAAAGAAGCTTCTGATCCTCGGACTGAATGGTAATTCAAGATTTCTAAGAGCATTAACACATTTAACTGTCCCATCTTCGACCTTACGGGCCAGGCTTTCTGCGGGGGAAGGTAATGATGATCCCAGAGAGACTAAATGGTCTGATTATATTATTTTCTACAGGCAAACCTGTTCATTTCATTTGAGAGGTGCTTAAAGAGGCAGCAGGCTCAAATTGTAAGTTGAAGTTCAGCTATTATATCTTCCCTTTATATTCCACCGAATTCCCTCCCTTCTGCATTCTAAACAACAGTGATAAATGCCCACCGTAACCAGATAATGGGTTCATTAATACTACAAAGTTGATTACACTTGCTGCCCATTTGTTATCTCTGTGGCACTGAGACTTTTTTAGCATGATATATCTCACAACAAAAAGCTGAATCCAGCCCACAGTTAAATCTCCCTCTTTCACTCTCTCCCTAACACACAGACGCGCACAAAATAAAAGGTGGCTTGCAATTGAGTGCTGTACAAATGGTGTCACAAACTATTTGTCCTTGGCCCGACACTACTAGCTAACCAGTCCTGAGGCTCGTAGATACAAACAAGCCCCGAGAATTTAGAAGTGAACATTAATAGCTTCTGACAATTGGCCTGCACTGGTTGTAAATCTTTGTCACAAATACTTAGACTCAGCATCAAATCTCGTATGGCTTGGTTTAATCAGTTTAGCACTTGTGGTACCAACACCATATTTTAAGATACCGGTTCACCATGAGCTAATTATAAATTCAGAAAGTAAAAGCAAATGTTATTAGATTATGCTAATAAAAACACACAAACATAGCACTTAAGGTGTAAAAATGCAACCATTTCCACTCGATTGCACTGATGAAAGCATTTGCATAGTCTTGCATTATAAATGTAAGTAACCCTTGTTTTTTCTTTTTAAATATAATCTATTATGGGGAAGCCTAGCCTCCCTCTACAATATTAATAATCCAGCTACAACCTCTGGTTTTGAAGCATTGAGAACAAAATCTATTGTATACTAATGTATATCATCTGGAATATCCACTTCATAATTAGAAAGGAAAAAATCCCTTCCTCTATTATTGTTCACCCATGCTGCTAATGTAATGATGTTGAAGGAGGGTAAAAATGTAATTAAGTAAACATGGACAAGCATTGCTCTTTTCCTCGAGTTGCACAAAAAGAAAAGCACATCGCTCATACACATGTGTTGTCTGATGATGAACAAAATGAATTTTAAGAGTCTCTCTGAAGAAGCAATCAGAGGTTAATGTGAGGAAATTATGAACGGGCTTATGTGCTTCAAACTGAAGACTACATTTCCTTACTGCGCTCTGATGAAGGTTTAAATTATTAAACATGTCATACAGATTCTTTTCATTGAATAGAAAACTGAAAGAAAATGGGTTTCAGTCAGTCAGAAAAATATAATGTACACTCACAAATCGATGAATACACATTTTACATGCAAGACAAGGTGGACAAGTGTATTTATATGTAAGTGTTTTACAGCAATTGAAAATGTGGATTATTTTTCATGCATTGAAATCAACAGCTGAGCTTTTGGGGAAAACATCTCAGTTGCATTCATTATTTCACCTTAAAGTCTTCCAGAGCACATACACATTACTTCCACCATGCTACATTTTTGTTAAAGGCACAATGCAGTTTTAAAATGTAAAATGTATAAAATCAGGACAGTATCTCCAAATATTTCCAAGAGCATAACGTGTACTTGTTATCAGCCTGTAGTGTGGTATGATGTTGAATTATATTACTATAATGACGTTAGTTTTTGTTTTTTCTGTTTCCTGTTCTATTTTGAAAAGTATTCTCCCCCTGTGTCATGTATGTTTTTACTTCCTTTTTTAAAAAATGTTTTTATTGTTTGTCACCCATCAGTCCTTCAACCACCTGACCTGCATTATATCCACTCTTTGGTTTAGATTGTACTGAAGTCTTCTGTTTAGTCAAAACATTTAATGTTTGTATTGTGAAGATCTGTTTGGTTCTGTTTTGCCTTGCCTTGTCCGGATGAGGCCTTTTTGTTCAAGTTCCTGTTCCTTGGATTTGAGTGCACCCAACTCTATATTGCGTGACACCATCTATATTTCGATTATTTGTATTGTCTGATAACCGATCAGAAGAAAAATAATTGTACTGAAGTAGATCACATGACCACAATTTAGTGAGGCGATATGTTCCAATACATGTTTTCCCTTTCAGACACCGATTCCTGAACTATTATATCAGCATATAATTGCATACTCACCAACACCTAATAGGAGGTATAGTTTTGGAGGAATTACTGATAATGGTATCTGTATTGTAACAACACTACGTACAAACTCATTAAGGTGTAGACATGTTGTATGTGCTTTGGAAAACACTAAAGAGAAACAAAGATCCAAAAAGATGGATACAAATCAGTGGAAAACAGTTTGGAATCAAGGTACAAACAAATGCAGTATGAGGGCGCATAATGAGAGCAGATGTCATGTGATTCAAAATATTCATGAAGAAAATGATGCAGTATTACCACAGCTCTGTAACACTTTGCTGTTTTTCATGTGGGCCCTACAGCAGTGAGACTGGCTTGGCTGGTGTCATTTAGAGTCTTCTAACATTCACACACCTCTGGACACTTGGCACAAAATAAAATTACTAAATAAAACCCTGGGGGCCATCTTTAAGCATAGCTTTTATCAGATGTATACCACTGCAGCTCTCCATGTTATTTTAAATTGTGTTGTTTGGCGTTGTTATTGTGAATAACACAGACTAAGGGAAAAGGAATACTGCATTATTCTCTGTTGTTGTTGGAATGGGTGTGAAGAAAAAAAAACGTGCAAACAGCCATGATGACACAAACAAAGGATGCATTTTCTCTTCTCACGTTTTGTTCTTTCTTTTCTGATATTTTGTCACCATGTCTTGCAAACTGCCAGGAGTGTTGAAAACAAAGAAGGGAGCACAGGGACAAAGAGAAGGTGAGACAAAGAAAAAAAAATAACAGCAAGTAAATGATGTTACACTTACACGTTCACATAACATAACCAAATAACCCAACCTCCTTCTCAAACTGACGTTTGTCCTTTTTAGAGGTTTTTATTACTGCAGTCTATGTTTACCTTTGTTTTAGCTTTGTGGGCTCAGAGCTAGTACAACCCTGAACCGCTCTGCAAAGAGAGCAGGAGTAACCAACAGGAAAAGAATGGCGCAAAGACAAAAGATGAGAAGTATGGAGAAGAATTTAAACCTTGTTTTGTAAGACAGACAAAGGGAAGTTTTTCTCACAGAGTGTTAAAGAGTTAAGACGGGAATTGATGTAGGAAGACGTGGGAGACTAAGACGGAAAAGAGATACAAGTTCTGATTGACAGGCTACTGGAAAAACAAGCAAATCCAATTGTGTAAGGTTCTTCAGCTCTGGCAGTATCCCCTAATGTACCAAACCCACTTCACTGATCTACTGAGGCAATTGTATCTTCTTTTACACAAAGTTAAAGCGTGCTGTACCTGTTGACTAAGTCGTCATTGTCATCGCTCTCCATTTCGTCCTCTATGGCAGCCTGCAGGTCACCTATCCTCTTGAAGGCCAGCTTGAGGTCCACTTGTAAGCTCTGATTTGCCGCCTCTAAGCTCTCGATGTCCATTTCCTGTTCAATAGATCACAGCACGGTTATCTCGTCTAGCGTGAACTCAGGGAATCGTATCAAGTCTCCCAGCACCCAAAGACTTACCAGTTCGTGCTTCTTCCGACTGGCCTCGGACTCCTTCTTGGACAGCTCTCCCATTTCTTCTTTCATGTCCCTTATCTGCCTCTGCATTCGTTTATTCTGTTCCTTTTCCCTGTTTTCCGCTGCGATGCGTTGGTTTTTCTCCTCAGTCAACTTTTCAAGGTTCTCCTTCAGACGACCCACTAGGCTCTGGGGAGGATTGGAAGTGAAATTGAGTGAATTTGTTCTGACAAAAGTAACACCAACTCCTACAATTTTTCTTTTGAAGTGTATTTACCCTTATGTGTACAATTTCTTATTTTGTGCCGCTGATCTTTCAAACAAAAGACAGTGTTTGGCAGTGACCATGGCTTTCTTCTCAGACGGTTTGTTAGTATTCTTCAGGGTTCAAAATTCAGGAGTTTAAAGCAGGTAAAAACACTAAATAGTGCAGTTTCACAATAAAAAAACAGTGTTTCACCAATGCGGTCCTGGGTGCATATAATGATAGGGTTTTCAAACCAATGTTTGCTCAGCTTGTTTCTCTGATAAAAAAAAATCCTTGCATCGAATGAATAAAATCCTCCATCCAGGTTAAAATATATAGTTAGAAAGGACCAAGATCTTAAAAGTGAATATTAAAAATTACACTTTCTGTCAGCATAACATTATCTTTACAGGCGACCAATGGAAATGTTGGGATACTAAGTACTCGTTTTAAGACATTTTGATGCGTAAATGTTACAAATTATACATTTCAATAAAACCATAGTTGGCTTATTAGAGAATAATAATCCCAGGTGGATGCTTTTCTTAACCAGCACCTCAAAAATACGGAGCTATGCAGGCCTTCATATCATCTCTACATCTTGATAAATAGACAATTAAATACTACATTTGCGTTGAGGGAGCAAGTCTTTTACATGCATAGGATTATCTGACCTCCAAGCGTTTGATCTGCGTCTTCTCGTACTCCAGCTTTGTCTCCAGCTCACGGATCTTGGCCTCCTGACGGCACACAAGAGACTTCTCCACCATAGATTGTTCTTGGAACTCTAGCTGGCTCTGCAGCGAATGAAGCTGAAAGCAGGACACAGATATACAAACATAATTAACAACCAAATCGCTTCCTGAGGATCAGCACTGACCTCTGCTTTTCCACTTTTTCTCAACTACGAACAGCTGATGTTGTTTGTATGCATTAATTTAAAACCAAATTATTGTTAACTTTTAACCTTTTTGTGTACATTTAATCCATCTTGGTACATGTACATATTGTTCATCCAGCCTGAATAATGAGCTCCAGATAAGCCCCCAATCTACCACAAATGGTCAGAAGAGCTCGTGGTTCAGGCTGAGTAGCAGCGAGTCACAGTCATTTCACAGGCTTTGGGAGAGGAGCGCAGCTTCATGCAAAGCACGTTTGTTCCATCTGAATCGTTTTCTCATGACTGATAAAAGGAAGGAAGATACGTCGCAACAAAAGCGACCCAAAAGGCACCGTGGAACCTAATGGGGGACTTTGGATCTGAGACATGGAGGATTTGGAGCTCGCCTTTGATATTACTAAAGAAGCTAGATTTCACTCGTACCAGGGATAAGATAACCACTTCAAGGTCACATGCTTTAGATGGCTATCACTGCCTTTCCTGGCAGCCTTTAACAATGTCTTACAGCCGGCTGCGTGTCTCTAGTGTAGCCAAAAATATTCTGATGGGTGGGCTCAGCAAATAACAGCGCTTTGGCATGAGTTTTGTTTAATTTAATTGAAGCAGGGTTTGCTTTTAGAGGGTGGCAAGAGCTTAATTTTGTCCTTTAGAGAAATTATATTTTAACACATTCTGTTCAAGGCAGATGGTTGTATTTGTTTATTCTACACTTAAAGGAAGACACCCTTTTGAAAGTACTACCCCGAGTGTGTGTAATGTACACACAAACTAAACATTAGATTTGCCATATACTGGGTACATTCGGCTTTAATAGCCCAAAGCCAATTTATTTAGCTAACAAATGCATCAACAAAGAACATCAACATGCATTAATACATGACATGTTAGAGGTTACACAAATATTGTTCCATCAAAAATAAAACACTATTATTATAAAAGCACCGTTACCAACATGAATGTGGTGCATTAACCTTTATACCACGTGAATCCACATTAACGCCGAGCCTCAATCATTTCGAGGACACAAACACATTAAACAGCAGCTAAACCATACAGCACAGAAATAACTAATTCAGACGGGGACGGTGTAGCTTCAGGTTTATGACAGTTATTGAATTGAAACACAAAGATGTTAGTAAGGGAGATGTAAGCCAGTTGAATAACATGCTAACGTTCTAGCTGGTATAATGTTTTCCTATTTATCCATCTTGTTTGTTAGCATGCTGCAAGTAAGACTGATGTTCTAGCTTTACTATTAGGTCATAAATGTTGGAGGAATAAGAATATTGAACTGATGGTGGTGTTAAAGGAAAAGTAAGGGAATATCTTGATACTGTTATCCCCAGGGGAACATGACAATGTTAAAGGCATTAAACAATGTTATTGTTCATCGCAACGAAAACACTTTAAATGTTCATTATGTATGTATATTATGTCATGAAAATACTCAAGAGTTTAGATTTCTACAGGTACGCCATTACTTAAATAGTTCCCTGTCAAACAGCCAGAAGGCCCTTGAAAACCCTTTATTAATAGTTTTCACCAGTGCATACACATCAGACACAGGGATGAAAGTAATCTCAAAACTTTACCAAGCTCTTCAAGATATTAAAAAGGAAAATACTTTCTATATAAAACACAAATGGGAAAACAAAACCAAAAAAACCATCCCTGACGAAGTCTGGACAAATTACTGTACTTTTCAATGGAAGATCTCGAGCTCAGGCACCTACAGAATGTTTAGTTGGAAGATGCTGAACAGGTACTTTTTCAGCCCTGCTCAGTCATCACATCATCTAGGGCCCCCCAGCTGCTGGAGGAAATGTGATTCTCAGTTAGCACATCACTACCATTTGTTTTGGGCTTGCCCTTTAATAGTAACTTTTCGGGAAAAGATCCATATCGAAATTGAAATAATACTACAGGAAAAAATCCCTTTAAACTGGGACAAATGTATATTTGGGCTCGTACATGCAATCCCCACAATCTCCAAAACAAAACAATTATTTGGAATTCTTACTGTTGCAGCAAAAAAAAAGCATAACTAGAAAATGGCTCAAAGCGTTTATCCCTTCTCTTGACAACTGGTACAACAAAATCCATGAAATATATGTTATGGAAAGAATCACCTTCTCAATGAGGCTTCAGGAAAACACATTTGAAGAAATATGGAAAAAGTAAAAAAGGGTGTGAAATTAATATCCCCCCAATAGTAATCTGCCCCTGTTGAACGTGTCCACCGATGAAGTAGTATAGGATGTGTAGTATGTCATCATGTATGAGTATGAGTATTGTAGTATGAGTATGAGAGTGTGAGATAGATATGTATAGTATTATGTATGTATGTATGGTTATGTATGTGTACTGTTAGTTTTTAGTTTTATTGTATGTATGTATGTGGTATTGTTTTGTTATGTATGTTAGTATTGTAGTTATGTATTGTATGATTGTAGTATTATGATGTATGTATGTGTATGTAATGTAATATGTATGCAAGTATCATGTGTAAATATGTATTCAATAATAACCCCTGTGTACTTTTCGTTTTATTTCTTTGATCTAATTTTTTGCATTTCATTTGCATTGGGTCTCCCTCAAAATGTTTTTGTTATGATTTGAAAAACTGTTACTTGTTACTTTATAATGGACCCCAAATTAAATATAAGAATTAATAAAAAAAGAAAAATATTATATTTCAAATTATAAATGACAGATTAATTTACAGATGAAAATTAAAAATTAAATATATGGATGAATATGTCTCTTTGATTTTTGCTCCATCAACATCTTCTGTGTGGTATTATAACGGATGATGTGTTATCGAAGTGAGCGGTGGGTATTCTGTAAACATTGCAGATTAACACTAGCATAACAAGATCACGTCATCATCTCTTAACTAAATGTATATCTAACGCTTCTTAAGATATTTGTTTTCTTAATCATTACACATTTATGTACTTCATGCTGTAAAAACATTTGCGATAATTCCAGAATTGTTCTAGTATTCGCCGGTTAGTATGTCCACGGCTTGTTATTGCAGTTTGCTAAAAATAAAAAAAGAGGTGCGATAAAAATGGTTAATTCC